TGGTACAGTTCTAATTGGTCGCCGTTACGGAGCGACCAATAGTGAGTCCATTCTGAGCAGCCTTCGTCCGGCTCGAAGCTTAACATAGGGAGTGAATGTGGCGATTGAAGTAAGCTATTTTAATACATTACAACCCCTCTATTTTTTATTTCCTCGTACTCCCACCCAGCCAAGCTCTGGTGCTCAAAATCACCTCAGCTGCAAGAGATGTGTTTCGGGGAAATGTTTATGGGGAGATAAGAGCTGGGAACAGGCTTAGCACCCTGCCCCTCTCTCCCCACCTTTTTGCTTCAAAATTCAGACCCCACCTCTTTTCCCATCTTGGGAGAATTTTATATCTATAAATATATGCACAGAACTGTCACCATAACATTTAGTTTGGCCTTGGGCTGTGGACAGATAATAGCTTCCCAGAGTTATGGAAAGATATTGTAGAGTCACTAAGATAAATAGTACATGTGATCTTTTTAAAAAACCCAAAAAACAAATCCCGCTGCAGTGTCCTGTAAACACCAGTTTACCACAGTTTTCACAGTTTTAGGTTGCACTCTGAGAAAGCCGAACCAAGCCTGCACAAGCAATGCCGAGTGATAGATGGACAACATTTGGGTACAACTGTCAAGGGAGACTCTCGCATAGCGCCCATGATCGTAATACTTGGAGGGTTTTTTTTTCTTCTAGTAGTTGTTATTGTGGGGTTGTTGATTGCACTGGGTCATCTTTGTTTTATTTCCCCTCACCACAACAGCAGCATGGGAGGAAGAGCCCCTACCCGTCCCTGTACCTGTCCTTGGTGACCTCTTGGTCTCGGATGCTACCAGCAACTCCGTCCGTCTCTCGTGGAGTGTCCCAGCGGGCAGTTTTGACTCCTTCATGATCCAGTACCAAGACCCAGAGGGCAACAGCCAAGCCCTGCCCGTGGGCCGTGATTCCCTTGAGGTCACTGTTCCCAACTTAACCCCTTCCCAAAGATACAGGTTCAACCTGTATGGCATCTCTGGGCCAC